TTTTTTATCTGTTTTAATCTGATCTGTTTTGTCTGTGTTTTCATCTGTTTTACTGTTCGAATTTCGATTCATCATAATGGTATATTCCAATCTATGGCATTATTTCCTCCGTTCCAAATAATGGTCTTTTACACACACACACATGCAAGATAGATTGGATGGAGAGAGAGAGAGAGAGAGAGAAGAGAGAGAGAGAGAGAGAGGAGAGGAGAGAGAGAGAGAAGAGAGAGAGAGAGAGAGAGAGAGAGGAGAGAGAGAGAGAGAAGAGAGAGAGAGAGAGAGAGAGAGAGAGAGACGAGAGAGAGAGAGAGAGAGAGAGAGAGAGAGAGACAGAGGAGAAGAGAGAGAGAGAGAGAGAGAGAGAAGGAGAGAGAGAGAGAGAGAGAGAGGAGAGAGAGAGAGAGAGAGAGAGCGAAGAGAGAGAGAGAGAGCAGAGAGGAGGAGAGAGAGGAGAGAGAGAGAGAGAGAGAAGAGAGAGAGAATAAAGAAGACATAGAGACAGGAAAGACACACATATGGATAGATAAATAGATTATACACTCTCATAACAGACTGATTAATGACTGATGAATAGATACATAGAAAAAGATAGAGAGGAAGACAGACAGACAGATAAACACACACAAACCAAAGCTAAATAGAATCAGACAGAGAGACAGAAAGAGAGACAGAAAGACAGACAGACAAACAGACACAAACAGAAAAGAGAAGACAGAGAGTAAAATAACAAGAGACACACATAGAGAAAGAGAAATACACACGATGTCAACTGAGACGCTATTGGAACTTCGATCTCCATCACCTTCTCATTCATCATCGACTTCAATTTCTCCCTCATTTTCCTTTCTCCCTCCTCATCATCTCCCTCATTTTCCTCTCTCTCATCAACTTCTCCCTCATTTTTCCTCTCTCTCATCAACTTCTCCCTTATTTTCCTCTCTATCATCAAAATCTCCCCTCAATTTTCCTCTCTCTCATCACTTCTCCCTCATTTTTTCCTCCTCAATTGATTTTCCCCTCATTTTCCTCTCCCTCATCATCTTCTCCCCTCATTTTCCTTCTCTTTCATTAACTTCTTCATTTTCCCTCTCTCCACCATCCTCGTCATCTCTCCATCAACTTTCCTCAATTCTTTCCTCTCCTCTCCTTCAATCTCCCTCATTTTCCTCTCCTTTCAACACTCTTCCCTCCATTTCCTCTCTCTCCTCAATTCTTCTCCCGTCATTTTCTCCTGCCCTTCCTCAAACTTCTCCCTCTTTTCCTCTCCCTATCACCATCTTCTCCTCATTCTTCTCCCTCATTTTCATCTCCCTCCTCAACTTCTCCCTCATTTTCCTCCTCCATCTCACCATCTTCTCCCTCATTTTCCTCTCTTCCTCATCTCTCCATCCTTTCCCTTCCCCATCCTCATCATCTCTCCCTCATTTTCTCCTCCCTCATCCGGCCCCTTCATCAACTTCTCCCTCATTTCTCTTCTCTCCCCCTCATTCCTTCATCCTCAATTTCTCCCTCTTTCTCCCTCTCATCATCTTCTCCCTCATTTTCCTCTCGCTCCTCATCTTCTCCCTCATTTTCTCCTCCCTCAATCATCGCCTCCTTTATCACTTCTCCCTCATCATCTTCTCCCTCCTTTCCCTCCCTCTCATCATTTTCTCCTCTTTCCTCCCTTCATCATCACTCCCTCATTATCCTCTCTCTCTCACCTTCTCCCTCATTTTCTCCTCCC